GGGGTGGGAGGGAGGCCAGAACAAGGGGGTGTGAAGGGACGGGGCCGTCTGCATGGATGTGACGATGCGCTTGGTGGGGATGCAGCAGGCGGCTGACCTGAGCGCACGGCCGGCGCTGTGGGGCCCGCGAGTCCCCCGGCACGGGCCGCAGCCCCTGCGACGGGTCCGCTTTGCGCCTGGGGGTGTGGGGGCGCGTGGGAGCTGGGAGCCAGGCGCACGTGGGCGGGCGCGGCGTGGCGCGGCGCGGCGCCACGCCTGCAGCTGCGCACCTTTGCACCCAGGGCTCACCCTCTCTCGCGCCCAGCCGCCGTGGATCCTCTCGTGCCCCGCGGCCTCATCCCTCTGCAACCGGCGAGGCTCAAGGAACCGCCGCCTTTCTTGCCTTGCAACCCGCGGCCCCCTCACCCGCGTCGCCCACCCACGCCCTGACCCCCCTCTGCCCGCCCACCCCCTGACCCTCGCCCCCAAAATTCCCCACCAATAATGGTGTGTCCAGTCATGTTCTACAGCCCCTATGGTGACCAGGGTGACGAGCCCTTTGGGCTGCAGCAGGACCAGGTGTCAAGCCTGTTTGGGCACAACCACCAGGTGCGCGCGTGGGTGGGTGCGCAGAAGTGTGTGCAGGAGAGTGTGTGTATCTCTGTGCATACGTGTGCGCAAAGTGTGTGTGTGTGTGTGTGTGTGTGCGTGCATGTGCGTGTGTGTGTGTGTGTGTGTGTGCACGCAGGTGGGCGGGTCGATTGAGTGGATGGAGGTGGGAGCCCCTGCTGCGGGCACCCGTGGGCAGCACGCGTATGTGCACATGTTTAAACACACACACACACACACACACACACACACACACACACACACACTCACTCACACACACACACACTCTCTCTCTCTCTCTCACACCCACACACACACACGCACATACATAAACACACACACACACACACGCTCACGCTCACACCCCCCCACTCAACCCCAGGACCACAAGCTGCGGATATTCTGCAGGGACCGCGACCCCCGCACCTGCGAGGCCCTCCGCGCCGCCTTCCGCCGCTGGTCCGAGCGCCAGGCCGGCTGGGGGCGGCAGCAGCACTCGACGCCCTTCAAATTCAAGACGGCGGCACGCGGCGGCGGCGGCGCCGCCAACGGCGGCGCGAGCGCCAACGGTGGCGGCGGCGAGGGGCGGGCGTCCAAGCGGGCGCGAAGCCTCACGTTCAGCGATTTGAACGGCGGCGGCGGCAGCGGCGGCGGCAGCAGCGGCGGGAGTCAGCAGCAGCAGCAGCAGGCGCGGCAGCTGGCTGCGGCGGGCGCGGACCAGCGGCTGTTCCACAGCCCCATCCCTGAGTAGATTGTCCCCCCCTGCCGGGGCAGCTTCCTGCCCTCTTCGTATCCCCGCATGCGCACGTGCACATGCACGGTTCCCCGCCCGTACACCGCCGTGGCCGGCCCGACGCTGCCAACCGGCGTGCTTTTGCGTCTGCGACCAGTGGACGGCTGTCCCCTCCCCCTCAGTCCCCGGCGGCTGCGCGCCCACCCTCAGTGGTGCAGCCCGCGCAATCGCATGATTCCTGGCTTACTCATCACCGACGATAATCGCGCATCATGGCGGAACAGAAAGCTCTCTGCATATGTTTGGCAACTGCTGCTAAACAACGCCCGGCCCGCTGCCCGCAGGCTGCAGCAAGCCTGCGCAACCCCACCCTGCTCAAGCCCTGGTCCTTTACTTGACAGCCCATATCGTCTTGCCACCTCCCACAGTAACACCAAGCAGCCGCTGGGCACGACCCCAACCAGCTCGCCGCCTCTGTGCGAGCAGGCGCCCCGGACGCCCCCTGCAATGCCCGCCGCCGTGCAGGCCGGGCTCCCAGGCGCCGCCTGCATGGAGCCGTCCCAGAGCGCGCCTCTACGGCTCCGCCCCGCCGTGCCCCCGGAATGCGGCCAGCCCGGGCATCATCATCAGCGCCCGGCTGCCGCCCCGCGGCCCCCCCTGCTGCTCCCCCGCAGCATGTTCGGCCGCGTCGCGCCACTCGGGCTTAAACTCGTACTCTGTGAACTCAAGGGACAGCAGCCCCGCGGCCACGAGGCGCGAGATAGAGGCCAGCGCGCGCGCCGCGCGGGACGGGTGGGCGGCGGCCCAGGCGCGGGCGTTGAAGCCTTTCAGGGTCAGCCCGCGGAAGACGTAGCTGTATTCAAGAATTTGGGGGGAAAGGGGGTGGACGGGAGTGGCCGGC